AAATTAAGAACTGTTACATCGTTTCATATTCCAAATTATGACTTAATATTTTGCTTCGTTGAAAAGAAATCTATTTTAGAAGATAGGTAGTCCTCATTGAAAAAAGGCATACAAGCTAATTCAGAGAATTTGTGTCCCCCGCTTAGGGAAGAAAGAAGAGTAGTTCAGTTCGGGAGGGGGGGGTCGGATCCCCCCCCCCCCTGGATTTGTAGAATTATTAAATGTATACATGTATATTGAAGCAAATAAAAAATGTCAATATGGATATAAAGGTTTGATTGCTTATTCTTTAATATGTGTATAGAAGATTCTTTTTATATAGAATATTTATCACACTGTAATAATGATTTTATACAAGCCAGACGTCATAACTTTTTCATTTCACATGCCGAATACTATCATTGAGTAAGTCCAAAAAAAATTTCTCCCCCAAAAAAGGATCGACCGGGATTTGAACCTGGCACCTCTTACATGCTAAGCAAGAGTCATACCAATTGACCACGGAGGCACTTGAATCTAGAACAAATAAATGCAAACAGTAGGTCACATAATGGTTATATTCATGTTCGATATTGTCAAAATTTTACACAATACATGGTGTCTAATTTAGCCTTTACTAAACAGTTCTAATCGATGTAATAAGAATATAAAGTTCGCCGACAACCTGTAATATACGTAACAAGCTAATTCAGAGAATTTGTGTCCCCCGCTTAGGGGAAAAAAAGAAGAGCATGCGCAGTTCCGGGGGGGGGGGGGTCAACCTGCCCCCTGTATTTGTAGAATCATTAAATGTATACATGTATATTGAAGCAAATTTTAAAAAATGCCAATATGGATATAAAGATTTGATTGCTTATTCTTTAATATGTGTATAGAAGATTATTTATTATATACAGAATATTTATCACACTGTTTAATGATCTTATGAGTTTGTACCAGACATCATAACTTTTTCATTTCACATGTTGAATAGTATCATTTAGTAAATTAAAAAAAAGAGAGAGAGAGAGAATCGCCCGGGGATTGAACCCGGGCTTCTCGCTTGCTAAGCGAGCAACATACCACTAGACCAGATTATACAGCATATGAAATGCAAACATGAAGTCACATATAATGTTTATATTCAAGTTTGATATTGCCAAAATTTTACACAATAAATGTTGTCTAATTTAGCCTTTACTAAACAGTTCTAATCGATGTAATTAGAATATAAAGTCCGCCGACAACCCGTATTATACGTTATAACTCTCGACATGCCCCTGTGCTAAAATAGTGCCAAGCGACTTTTAATACAATGAATAAAAAAAAAACGGGGCGGGACACTTTGAGAGGGGCAAGAGCGGCCATAGGGAGTTATGGTATAAAATTTCATTGCAAAAGCTCAAAACCTTCTTGAGATATCGCCCGGAAACGAAAGTGTTACACACAGACGGAATTTATGAATTTACGACCTTGAACTTTGACCTTTTGACCTCAAATCAATAGGGGTCTTCCTTAGGCCACAGGGAGTTGGTATGTAAAATTTCATTGCAAAAGCTCAAAGTTTTCGCGAGATATCGTGCGGAAACGAAAGTGTTAAAACAGACGGAATTTATGAATTGATGACCTTGACCTTTGACCTTTTGACCTCAAAATCAATAGGTTTCTTCTCTAGGCCATAGGGAGTTGCTATGCAAAATTTCATTGCGAAAGCTCAAAGGGTTCTCGAGATATCGCGCGGAAACGAAAATGTTACAGACAGACAGAAATACAGACGGACGGACGGACAGACAGACCCAAATTACTATCCCCCACTTTCAGTGAAAGCGGGGGACAAAAAAAAGATGACGTCGTTGACCGTTACAGAGCAGCAGTTAACGATACAATTTTGTGTTGTTTTACATAGAAATGTATGGGGGAAAATCTTTAACAGTCTTCTTTTCAAGAACAGTAAGGCCACGATTAGTCATATTCATATAGAAGCATCTTGAGGTAGTGTAGATTCAAGTTTGCTTAGATCATGACCCCCGGATCATTATTACAGTGTGATATATATTCTATATAAAAAGAATCTTCTATACACATATTAAAGAATAAGCAATCAAATCTTTATATCCATATTGGCATTTTTTATTTGCTTCAATATACATGTATACATTTAATAATTCTACAAAATCCAGGGGGGGGGGGGGAGTCCGATCCACCCCTCCCCGAAATGCACATGCTTGTCTTTTTTCCCTAAGCGGGGGACACAAATTCTCTGAATTAGCTTGTTGACGTTACAGTGTTGTTGAGTTTGCTCCGTGGTTACCAAACATGTTGATTTTAAAATTAAATAACATCATGACTTCTATTAAATCACATAGAATGAAACTTCTCAAATCAACAGAATACATACTTTTACATATAATAATGTGCTCATTTTAAATTTCTTGAAGATAGTATAACGAAGATTGGTATATGGTCCACGAACTTTCCGAACAACCCTCGTAACACACCACCATAACAATACGACTACTCATAGCTTTGCTGTTTTTCAAACTTTATATTCCTCTGTAAAAGTTTGATCCCCATTGCAGTCCACTCTACCTCCGGGGGTCATGATCTGAGCAAACTTGAATCTACACTACCTCAAGATGCTTCCATATGAATATGACTAATCGTGGCCTTACTGTTCTTGAAAAGAAGACTGTTAAAGATTTTCCCCCATATATTTCTATGTAAAACTTTGATCCCAAAATTCAAAATCCCTGAATTATCTTTCGGGTAAGTTACAATTAATGGAAGAATCCTTGCAACAGCTTCTATTCGATGTGAGCGTGAATTTTGATTGTCGCTTATGACGTTGTACATCTACGACGTTCAATGTTTGTGATGTCAAAATAAAACACATACTTTAACATTTTGAAATAAATAAATCTGCTCCAAAAACTTATACCTGGGAATCCGATGACAACATTGACGCCATATATTACATAAGCTCCCATAACTTCGTTGAGGTGGGCTAAAATTTATGCACTTGCGATGAATTAGGTATCGAAATCAAGACAGGATACTTCAAATTTTCTGTTTTAAAATTTTCGAAAACTCCATTAAATTTAAAAAAAATCTAATTTTGACTATGTATAACGCTGAGTCAGATCATGTAACTAGGAACGATTTAAGGTCAGACGACACGTTCCTCAATAATATATAATTTTCCTAAGAATTTGTCATTGAAGTATTACCACTTTTAAAAACAGCACTCCTCACAAAAAATCGAGGTACCTTACCAGGCATTTTTGCAAGATACTAGATGATGTTGTATTCTATATAACCCTATTGGAAATCTCTAGAATTGTCAATATCAAATATTTTGGTGATTTTATATTTAAAGACATTTTAAACACAGTTTAAAAATCACGAATAATGAAAACTATGAATATTTTTATATATATTATGAAGAGATATTCGAGGAACGTGTTGTCTGACCTTAATTTTATGCAAATTTTACACAATTTTCATTTTTGGGATATGAAGTGCGCAGTCGACATTCATCATATTTTAAGACTTTTGTGCAGTGTCTATATCTAGTTACTGGGCAAAATTGGGCGAGTGTCCCTCATGCTCTTCATATTCTAAACATCAACTGATGAATGCCCCTCTATATTTTCCCATATGCTCAATGTTAACGCGTTGAAGGTACATGTGTCAACTACGGTGTGAATTTGTCTCAAATTATTTTTTTGAATATAAGTAACAAAAGTTATCATATTTATCTTGAATTCTAAACTAATTTTGAAAAAAAAGTAAATTGAAATTTATTTGTATGAAAATAAGTGGGCCGCTGAGCGGCCCTATCGATATCTGCCCAAAGGAGGGCTACATATTGTTTCAAGACGATAGAAAAAAGGGGGCTAGGATCATTGAAAATTATTCTTAAGAACAATAGGGCCAGAAAACAATGTGACATATTTGGAAGCTTACTTATTGAGTGTAGATTCTATTTTGTTCAAATCATTCACTCAGGGTAGGGACATTAAGGTCTAGCAGGGATTATAACTACAAGGGAATAAATAAAGGGAATCTTTAGAAATCTTCTCAAAAACAGAAGGGGCGTATTCAGTCATAAATAATAAGCATCAGCAACCATAATAGGGTATTAGTTTTTTTGTTTTTTGTTTTGTTTTGTTTTTTTTATACATGGGAATGTGCAGGAAATCTTATCAAGAAGACTCGATAGCAGGGCAAAAATATAAATCATATCTCTATGCATGCAGCCCCAGACCTAAAAGTATATTTTTTACTCAAAATTTTGCCATGGAATAGCTTAGGGCTAAAATAAGATAAAATATAAATATGGAATATGGAGAAAAATACATATTTGAAACAAAAAATTTAGCCGTGGGAAAAGTATGAGGCCAAAATAAGATAAAGATATATAAACATAGAATATATTGGGAAAATAATTAAAAATATTCTTTTAAAAAACAGCAGGGTCACAATTAGTCATTTCCAAGCATTTGAATATAGTGTAGATTCTTATTTTTATATCTATCACAGGGCTAGGCTGGGTCTTAAAAGGAACTCAAAGTTTAAATGGGTATTTGAGGAAAAGTTAAAAGATATCTTTTCGAGAGAAGCAGGGCTACATTAAACTATATTGATATGCAAACAGCTTAATGTCGCAAGGGTTCTTTCTTTTTTTTTTTTTACCTGTACAATTCACCGTGAAGTGGCGATCAAAGACTTCATAATATTACTATGGGAAAAAAATCTCAGATTAATAAATTACGGTGTTTACTTTATTGTAAAACTGTTTTTGCAATTATTTAAAAAAACAAAAAGAAAAAAAAACAATTCACGCCAGAATATAGCTGCATGATGTATACCTTCATGTAAAAAAAAGTCTGACAGAAAGGCAAGAAAATATTACGACTTCATACATTTCAATTATAATCAATACAGAGCTTACATGTGCAATTATGGATTTTTTATCTATCTATTACATTACTGTACACCCTATCTTTTTTTTTACTTACATGAAAGAAGAAAAATCCTAGTCACCATCCAAGAACAGAGGTATTGTCTGACGCATGCGCCATCTTCCATCATATGACTGCAAATATTTCCTTTTTCACCATTTTATTACATGACTGTATGTTTTCCCCTTAAATTATATTATTAAAATATGATTTGAAGGAGGAGAGGGGGTCTCGATATCTGGAAGTCTAATAGCAGACAAGTTATTTTAATTACAATGAAATCACTAATACTTTAAGAATTATTGCATGTACTATATTTGTTTAATATACAATACAAATGGAATAAGATAAAACATGTAGTCTAGGCCTATTATAAATTACAATATGAACCGATTTGACTTTGAACATCATGATCTATCGAATTTATAATGTCCTTTATTAAGGTAGGTCGCGGGTTCAAGTTTTTATGAATATGATTTTTTTTTTTTAGTTTTCAAAACTAATCGGAACACCGTCATATACTCACGAGGTACGCTGCCCCTTTAAAATATACAAGCAGATTCAAAGAATTACGAATCCCCGCTTTCGGTATCTAAGTGGTTGGAATGCAATTATTTATGGCATATTGTAATTGTCCTGTCTGTGAGGATGTCTTGTCTGTTCATAGTACAAAGAACGATGTAGTTTTTTTTTAATGAATAAAAGCTAGGGCAAAGATCTTAAAACGCATCAAACTTTAAAGGTCTTGTCACAAGAAATGCAAATGTGAAAAAAAAAAATGAAAGCCCTGTCTCTTCTGAAGCAAAAGTTACGGCGAAAGTTAAAATCTAAGATAAGTATGTAAAACTTCTAGGTCAAGGTCATGAAGTAAAAAATGATAGTGCTTTCTGAAAGATGTTGTCACAGGTAATGTATATATAAAATATAAAAGCCTTATCTTTTCTCTTTCAAAAGTTTTTACCAATGTAAAAAAAAATTGAAAAGAACTGTACATGTAGGATTAACTTTAAGTTTGTGGTCAAAAGGTCCAAAACCAAAAACTTGTGACAGGTAATGGAAAATGTACATCCATAAACACATAAACGATTTCCAAGATATCGTATAATGCCTTCATATTACAAAATCCAAATGTCGATTTTTTTTCAAAAAATTTCATAAATTTTTTATGGAAAAAATAGAGATAAGAATAAAAGAAATGTCTCATTGGTAAATTAAGTACCGTGGGATTGGAATCGTTGATGTTGAAAGCAAATTCTCTGCTGCAAAAGCATCATAAATTAGCAGAATACTAGTAGTTAATCTAGGTGTTACACATCAAATTCTTAGTAATATTTTGCAACAAAACAATATTTCAGTATTTGATATTTTCAAAACTAGTGAGTATAACTTTATAGAATCCGAGTTTTTTAAAATGATAAATCTGCCAAAGTTTTACGGTAATGTGTTTACAGCGTTTAACCCTTTTGCTGCCGTACATATTTCCAGTTCAAATTACGTACATTGCCGTGACAGTTTTCTATTACGTTGAATCTATGATGTAACGTAACTGTGACGTCACAAACAATGTAGGTAACTTAGGTATAAATGATTTTTCGCCTCTGCAGAAAATCGTTAAAATAGAGACATTATAAAAGAACAAATTCTACAACGACAGGCCTCTCAGAAAAAAAAATACATTTACAGAACACACAAAATTTATGCTCAGATAATATTTTTAGTAGATTAGGTAGGGGGTTATATATATATATTTTTTTTTTAGATTAGAACAATATGTAACGTCAAGTACCCGTGGATCAAGTATATACTGCATAATATAATGATCGCAACACGAGTAAAGTTAAAAATATACAAATGCAGTGTAATTGAAACAGTGATTCATAAATAACTACTTATAAGTTTTAGGGATCTACGTGTATCAGTGAAAGTGTTCTTAACCATGGAAATTCTATCGGATTTGAAAAAAGTTAATTTCGGTTCGTACACCGTATACATATTCTTGAAGGTAGACCTTACATATTATCACATGCACCAGGCCCGTAGCAATAGATTTAAAAGACAGTGGGGATCTTCACAAAAAATCTGACAAGCCAACAAAAAAAACGTTCCGAATGCAAAAATCTTATTTCGTATGTGTGTGTGTGTGTGGGGGGGGGGGGGGGGTTAGGTATGTGGGGGCAGCATCAAATAAAGATTTAATATTAAAAAATTTTACTCAGAAAAAAGGTCCCCCCTCCCCCCGCGCGTTATACGGGCCTGTGCACACTCACACCCTTCCCTGAACCACTTGTATTATTTTAAATTATTACTATTTTATATTTGTTCAAACGTTAATATGTTGATCTTTTCCTGTCACATTTTGTAATCGTGTTATAAATAATAATATGGAATACACCGACTAAGACGTACGTTACTTCCAATGGTAAGTTTTCTTCGTTCTTACCACTCTTGAACGGCAACTCGGATGCAATCTGTGGATTGTTCAAGTCAATCAAATGAAAAGACTTTGATTTATTAAAACTTAGTTTGTCCTTTATTGTGATTTTATTACAACATTTTTCTACAGTGTTATGACTTGAATCACAGGCTTTGTTTCTGTAGTAATTTTTTGACCCATAGTGTAATAATGTTATTTTTATGCTATGGGTTAAAAAAATATATCACAGAAACAAGTGCCTGTGCTTTGAATTTAGTGCTAGATATATAAACAACTTCAAGGTCCTTAAAAAATTAAGAAGCATTTCATTTGTTAAAACTAAATATTCCGTCAACATGTAACTTACAATGAGTAGTAATTGACCTTAAAAAGTATAAGTTTTCATATGTTTTTCAAACAGAGTACACGATCATGCCAAACATTTTGCCGATCGGCATCACTTAATGTGCGATCCTACAACTGAAATAACATGGTAGATAAATAACGGACAAGGTTACTACTGTATATATAAGTATATTATGATTTTTCAAAATTACAACGGAGAGGTGATGAACTTTTGAGCAAAGGGAAACGTTAATTGACATATCTAATTTATTAGAAATGCCGCGCTTAGCTGTTAGAAAATAAAGTAACATATTACTACTAACTTAAGTTACGTTGAGAGGAAATCAAGATATTAGGGGTATTTGCCGAGGGGGGGGGGTACTTGCCCAATTTCGACCGACAAGATATTTTGCCTATCCTCTGATTGTAAATACCTACCACAATTCTTGCATTAATTTAATAATATGACACGAGATGCAAGTAAAAAAGTATGACCCAGCTAATACCCCCCCCCCCCCCGGCAGTTAAAATCAGTAATTCGCGCCTAAAAGAAAACCTGTATTGGTCATTTGAACAAACAGAATGTATGGAATTAATTGGATGAGAACATATAAACATGCAGAGGTTCTATGTCGCAGTCGTTTTTTGCAGAAATAAGAGCCGCAATTGCTCAATGGACATAAGCAGTCTTCTCCGGCAATTGGCAATGTCATGCACTGACTACATGTATTCTAGAATTGAAGGTTTATCTGTAAAGTTCCTTGTATCTTTGCCGAATTTCTTTGATTATGTGACATGTAATCTGTTGTAAACTGCATTTCTCCGTATAAAATAAACTCTTTGCTATGCTCGTTTAACATTTACCTGTGTAAAATAAACTCCTTGTTATGCTCCTGAGGTTAAAACTTTTTAAAGTCGTTCAAAAGGCTCTTCAAGGCTTAACTGTTACATTGTTAAACTGTATACTATATAATGCCAATTTAAGATAAAAAAAAATATTTACAAAAATTACAATATGATATTGCATTAATAGTATTTCCACGATCAAACCACTAAGTTCTTGTAGGTGATGGTAAATTATTCTCGTGTTTAAGATAAATATTTTTTTTCTACCATTGGAACTTTGATTGCTTGTATCGTTCAGACAAGGATTGAAAATATTGATAAAATTGCTTAATTTCAAATCAGAATGCATTGTTTACATTTTCTAAAGATCAAGACAAATGAAATACCCGTTTAAAATTCCTTTTTTTCAGATAATTTTTCAGTAATAGAATGGTAAAATGATTGATTGTTTTCTTTAACAAGAGGCCAAAATGGCGCGAAACTCAGAATGATGACGGAACGTCATAATCAGTTTTACCTGTGACGTAATGAGTTAACAGTAGGCCCAAAATAGGCCTATGGCACTTAACGTAGTTTTTGAAAATAGGCCCAAAATAGGCCCGCGGCACAAAGAATGTTAACAGATGTAAAATGCAAAGAAATACCAATAATTTAAAGAGGGGCAAATTTTCAGGTGAATGTTTATGGACTAATAAACTGTTTTCAATTTGATTCAAAACCCCTGTGTTTTAAAAATTGGATACATAGAGGATATTCAATGTTTTGTTTTGTGATATGGAATTTATTTCATGAATGGGATAGGGTTTTTTGATATTTTCACGAGTGCGAACCATGAGTGAAAATATAAAAAAAAAATTCCTGTCTCACGAGTGAAATAAATTCCATATCCAACTACAAAACATTGAATTTTCTGTTTATTGATTTTCCCATTTTCCCTTTGCCTCAGTTTTTTTAACCAAGGGCGCTTTCCATTAACGTTGCCTTTCCGGCGACGTCATCTGGAAACGGTGACGTTAATGGAACGGTTGGTAACGTCACAATTACCAAATATGGAGGACTACGAATTAAAACGAAGCACTCGCATATTAAAAATATTTCTGCTTCAAGTATTTGAAGACAGTGACATGAATGATTGTGACGACGATGTTACGCCAGATGTTATTCGTCGTTTATTGACAGAAAAAAGAAGCCGACAGCGTATTGCTGAATATTTTAACGTTACCGTACCAGCATACTCCCCAGATGAGTTCTCCTCACATTTTCGAATGCGTAGAGAGACTTTCGAGGAAGTCTGTAGACAGGTATATTTTAAATTATTAATAAATAACATAAGAAAATGCACCTTTTCATAATAAGATTAGAATTTTATAACTCTGTAAATTCTTTGTTCGATATGTTATTATATTTTTAAGGACTATTCACAAAATCTTCTATGTAAAAAAAAAAAAAAAAAAAAAAATCTTTAAAATTGCGCTCCTTTTAGAGTACCATAGAAGAGCAGAATTACAAGCACTACATATATTTTAAATTAACTGAAGTAAAATTAAATTTTCAATATCATGTTATGTTCAGTCGAATAAAGAAACGGGTTGATTTTTATGAGGATTATTTATACTTTGATTATATTTAAGTTTATACACGAACACGGCGGCGTATATTGATAAATTTAATTATTCAATTGCTGCATTTCAGTTTTGAACACGCTATAATTATGAATAAATATTTACCCCACCCCCCTAAAAAAGTGAAATGTACATATGTTATTAAAAAAATGAATATCCGGTTATAGAATTCGTATATGGTTTATGTGTACAAATACGGTGGAGGGGGGGGGGGGTACGCGCAAACATTATCCAATATATCATCGAAGTGTATACTTTATTTATTGAATCAACAGATACTGTCAACAGGCTACATTCCAAAAGAACAGGTTCATGGCAGAGAAATCATCGAACCTTCCAAACAAATAATGATTTCGATATGGATGCTGGCCAACATGGAAGGGTACAGGCAAATAAGTGACAGATTTAACGTCACTTATTCTTCTGTGTACAGATGCTTCATGCGGACTTGTACAGCTCTACAATGCCTGTCTGCAGAAAAAATCAAGTGGCCTACTGGTTAGTGCATTTGTGTGTGTGTGTGTGTGTGTGAAATAAAAAGTGTTCATTTATAAGCTTAATTCACTTTCAATTTTTTTAATAAGGGGGGGGGGGGGTGCCAAGCAAAAATTCCTCACAAAAATATGGCATTATTATTTAGGGGACAAAATGAAAAAGTAGCTTTCTTTTCTGTAGTATATACAATATATCTAAAAATTATAAGGTCTTTATACCATGATCTGCATTCATATATATATATATATATATATATATATATATATATATATATATATATATATATATATATATATATATATATATATATATATATATATATATATATATATATATATATAATTTAAATAATTCAGTAAAAAAAAAAACCTGGAATTTATATCGTTACAGGTGCTAGGGCAAATGAAGTCATTGAAAGCTTTGAAAAGATCATGGGTTTCCCTCGAGTTTTAGGGGCTGTCGACGGATGCCACATACAGATAAGAGCTCCACAAGAAAAATACCATCCCATGTCTTATCTGAACAGGAAACGGGACTATTCGGTTTTATTATACTTTCATGTTAAATACTAAAATCTGATTGGTTTAGACACATTTAACAATCCGTAATATTACCCTCAGCGTTAGAAACACACTTGACAACGGGTAACATTACGAAAATATCACATGCGTTCAAATCATGCGCATACGGTTCACCGTAGAATTCTCAAAACGTCGGTTGTGCGTTTGAAAGAAGCCGAATAAACGACGTCAATAAAAGCTTGCGTCCGATGTAGCTTACTTGAAAAAGACAAACGACAGACGAAACATCCTTGCGAGTGCAAACTTTAGGTGATAAAGGACTTTTTGAGTAGCAAACAAATAATAAAGAGGTTGGTAAATCTTTTACGAAGCTTTCCTATTGAGAAAAATAGAAGCGGAGAGTTTGAAAGCTCTCTAAGCGTGAAGTTAACGACGATCTCCGAATTTTTTAATGACATCCGAAATCAATAAGACATTCAGTATAATAAAATAAATAGTGCACGTTTTTGAGGGTAACAGTTGAAATTGACACCCCTCGGAAAACCATTGTCAACCTCCGCTGACGCGTCGGTTGACAATGGTTTTCCTTGGGGTGTCAATTTCAACTGTTACCCTCAAAAACGTGCACTATTTATATAATATTACAGGTGAACATACAATTCGGTTTAAAAATACTATAAGGCAAACAACAGCACTTCTTAATCGCCTCCATGATTCCTGTGATTTAATTCATTCATTTACTTTTTAGGCTGTATGTGATCATACTTTACGGTTCACGGACATTCTATCCGGATGGCCTGGGTCTGTACATGACGCAAGAGTCTTCAAAAATTCACCCCTTTATGAAGCCAGCTGCAGTGAAAACCTTTTTCCTGGCGATACACATATTGTTGGAGATGCAGCATATCCACTGCAAAGGTTAATAAAAATTGACATTTATTTAAAGAAATGGGCAGATTATACTTTTTTGAAAACCATGTACATCATTTATGTTCAAGTTATTTGTATTACATTTCAGTTGGATTTTAACACCGTACAAAGATACGGGGAATCTGGCAGAGTGTCAGAAAAGATATAACTCCATACATGCCAACACTCGCCAAACGATTGAAAGAGCCTTTGGTTTGTTGAAAGGAAAATGGAGGAGGCTGAGATTCCTGGAGATGACCAAACTTGAAGATGCCCCATGTGTTATAACAGCAGCCTGTACACTTCACAATATGTGCATAGAGGTATCCCCCCCCCACAAACTTTGAAAAAAAAATCATCGTGAATTTTGGCATACGAAACACATGTAAAAATGAATCTTGCTCTTACTTGATTTCTTTTTTTTTTTTTACAGAACAATGAGAATGACCTGGACATGTGCAGTGATACCAGTACCTTTCCTGATGCTCCAGCTGTGAGTGAGCCTTTGAACCAGAGTGGATCAGTAAAACGGAATGCCCTAGCCCAGTATTTCTGGTCTACCAACCGATATTAAATTCAACGAAATAAAGAAAACAATGCTAAATTTACAAATGTTTCCTTTTTTATTACAATTTAAGAAAAAAGCTTTTTATGTAACATTTACATTAAAACTTTTCCATAATCAGGATGATGCCTCCTGAAATTGTAGCTATTAAGTTAAATCCAATCCAATTTTTGGGTTGAAAAATCCTTAATTATCATCAATGAATGCATATACATACATGTATCAATGAACAACTAATAGTAGATTAACATCAATATTTACATGTGTTGACGTAAATTGAATGGACTTGTCTACACTATCAATAAACAAAGGGTAATTATTGGGTAACAACTTCAATACTCACATGCCTCTAGACCATAAACTACTTACATACTAAGGTCAAAATTTCAAATTAATGTACCTACTTGAACAATAAAAAATGATTTGTTTGATGTACAACCTGTCACAAATATTATCTGTATAGCAGTCCTTCGCATAATGAGAACATTAATAAATTATTTAAAGTGTGAGTTTTAAGATAATTATCAAAAGTACTTGTAACTTAAAAAGAAAAAAAAACAAAACTATCTACCAACACACCTTGAAAAATGATGGTCAGAGTACATTAAAAAAATATGGATGGCTCTTGATGCATGAAAACATAACAAAATTTTCAGTATGTCTTTGTTTTTGAATATTACACAAAATTGCATTGTTTTGAAGAAGTGAGATAAACATTCTCTTCAGGGCTAAAGACCATAAACTGAGAATATAAACTTTAGTCAAAATTTCAAACCAATATATCTTTTGAAATAATTTTGATAATGAAACAAATGAAGCAAAATATTCAACATATGTTTGAATTAAAATGTTAGACAAAATTGAAAATTTTTAAGCAAATACATTCAATAAAACTAAAAATATTAAAAAGCAAAATTTTGACTTTGATCAGTTCTCAATTTATGGTCTTGGGGTCATGTATTTACTTATTTGATCTATGATATCAGAAAACACAATAAACTTATTTTTCAAGCAAAGACACTAATTTCTCCATAAGCACCAGCTTTCTTTCATTCACTCTCATCTGCTCCTCCTGAAACTTTCTCCTGTCATCCCTCACCTCAGTCAACAAATCTATCAACTCATCCTCCCTCTTACGCTTAGACACGTTCTTCACTTTCTCACACCCTACTTTAACACTCACTCTCTCATGCCCCTCCACTTTCTCCCCCTTGTCACCACTAATAATACTTAACCCCTTACCCACACCAACAGATATTGTTTTTAATTGCGTTATTTTTGGATCATCACCCATAACCTCCATCATTTCTTCATAGAACTCCATGGACCGCCGTCTCTCACCAGACTTCTTATTCGCATCCTCTACTGCCTTATACTTGGCAGTAAGCTTGTTGAATTTTGATTGGCACTGAAGCCAGTCACCAGTAAACCCATACTCTTCCTTCAATTTGGCTGCAATTTCTTTCCACAGAGCTTTATGGGTCTTCTTCTTTGAGGCAAACTCTGCATCCAACTCGCCTCTTAAATTGATGAGGCCTTTCGTGAGACAGTTGGTCCACGTTTGCTTTGCATCTACAAAATAGACAATTTTATAATCTCTTATAATGCATGAAAATTAAATTCAACAAGCAAATTCAAAGAATTGTGGTCCCCCGCTTTCGGTGTCTTAGTAGATGGGATGCTATTATTTATGTCATATCGTGTCAAATATGAACGCCCTATCATATGTCATTCTAAAGTAATCACCAAAGTTAAAATTTTTGAAAATTAGGGCAAGCATGATAGTCAAGGTCAAGGGGCAAAAAATCATAGCGTGCTTGGAAACTTTTTGTCACCAGTAGTGTACTTGTCAAATATGAAAGCTCCATCTCTTCTCAATCAAAATTATAAGGAAAGATAACATTTTTGAAAAGTAGGTCAAACATCACTGTCAAGGTAGCTGGGTCAAAAATCATGGTATATTTAGAAAGGTTTTACCACAGTTAATATACATTTGTAATATGAAAGCCCTATCTTTTATCAATAGTTATGACCAAGGTTAAAGTTTTTAAGACAGACGGACTGACTGACAGACGGACAGGCTGACAGACGAATGAGATTTAATGTCCCCTTGCTTTAGCGAAAGGGGGGGGGGGGAGGGGACAATGATATCAGTGAGAAAGAAAATGTTTATCATATTAATAGTATATGTACTGATATAAATAGAAGAGTCCAAATTTAGTGCCTAAAACTCTGTCCCAGGGGGTATGGAATATACATTTTATTTAGGAAGCTGTATGTTTTCTTTTTAAATATGGAATCCATTAAGTTTTCATTCTGTACAAACAGATTTCAAAAGCATTTTTCAAAATTTTATCTAATAGATTATACAACAAGAAATGATGTACCTTGCACAGGTGTGGCAGGAGAAATTTCTGTGACAGTTGTTTCATTTTCTTCCCCTGTTGATACAAAAAATATTTATTAGAAATTTATATGCTATTTAATAAAAATGCAATCTATTCTGATCATTTCATTCAACTTTCAATGGCATACATGTTTGTTAATTAATTATTGAATTATTTGCAATTCATATAATGAATACATAGCAAAATTTTATAATTCAGTAATTGGTAAACAACATATGTATCAATTATTGTGCACACTTTTGGCATGAGTTACTTTTTTTTTTAATAAATTGAGAATATATTCTCTGAACACTTATTTAGAATTGCAAAACAATGTATATTAAGGACAAATAACACAAACAAACTTTTTTCAGAAATCAGCAATATTTCTCATAGATTAATATTCAAATACACTACAGTCAACGCGGTTTCCGTATTTACCGCGAGTCCTCGCGGTGTGAAATTGATCGCGGTTTAACACAGGTAACTCAGGTAAAACCGCGTGTTCTCGTGGTACAGGTCCTCAACTAATCCACACCATCGCGGTTTGCGTTATCCGTCTCAGGTGAAAAAATTATTCTCTTCATAAACGCGAGTTACCTCCCCCGACAAGAAAAAGAAAAACAACAGAGAAGTAAAAAAAAATTAAAAGGATAAAACCAGTCTTGGCAGTTATTTAGGTCTCCTTTTTATATGTGATTAATTTATCTTTTTATTTCACGCCTCTTTCAAAAATAAAAAAAAAAGAAAGAAAGAAAAGGAAAGGAAGAATGCATGATATGGAGACAACTAAATATATATATACATGTATATACTGTGTGCTCATTTATTGTTCTTAACTTATCCGTAATTATACATATGCATTAATTTTGTAGATCACAGTTATTGATCATCCGATAATTCAATGATTTAATTGTCAAATGATAACAACTTTTCCTTCATTTAACCATTTTAAATAAGTAAAATAGTCGCAATATTTAAAAAAAAAAGGCGCTCAGAATAAAATCTTCAAAGGAATGGATATTTTTTCTGTATTCCTTATTCGTAATTCAAGTTTCCTTGAAAAATTTAAACTTGAAAAAGTACGTATGAACGTGCAACATGTATACTAGACTTTTTTTCATGACTTCTAATCTAGTGCGCTTTGTACGGTATTTATACAGGTATTACAACCAAACTATGATTCGGGTGTAAAATATCATTTAAAAATATCTATCCTGTTTATAAATATTATCATTCAAACTTCAATTTACTTTAGATACATGTTTATTCGTAAATAGCAAGCTTCACCCTAATTTGATTTGAAAATTTAATTAATTTTCGGTCCATAATCAACTAATACTTCAAAAAATCAAAATTGATTCAAAGTTAGTTTAAGTTTTCATTCGTTGATTGTTTTCTAGTGACGGTTACCCTAGTGACTGCCTTTCCATGCTCTTGGCATCATACATTATCCTCATTTATGTGATACCCCTCCCTGAATTTACGGTTTTTTTTTAAATTTATTTACCTTCAATTACAGGCAAAAAACAATATTAATAGCTCAGAGGATGTTACAGCATGTGCAAATATCCAACATTCGATTTTGAAATTTAATTTACACTGATAAAATACAATTGGAACAGAAGGTTCTATGTGCCCCTGGGCTAGATTCGAGTTTGTAGTAGATCTACGCACAGTCAGAATCTTGGCACTGACACAGACAGGAAGTATTATGTAATACATATACACATACCTCTGCACAACAATAGATTAGATCTGATTTACCTGTATTGTATACCTGGACATGCAAAATTTTGCATTCAACGCGCGTTCCATTATCCGGCGTCGACGGCAACACCGGCAAATCCGGCGTTGCCTGTTTAATGGAAAGCGCCCCAAGTGTCATAGGCTGTGACGTCATAGTTGAGCGGTTGAGACGTCATAGCTTATTGAAAACATTGTAACATGGATTTTAGCAACATATTTGGGAAGAAATGTAGGCAATAATTACCTTCTAATTTGGTATTTGCAACCGTTAATGCTGATTTAATGGTCGCAAATTGAGTTTTACCGGCGACGCGTAAGCAGAGTCGGTAAAACGGATGTTTGCGACCGTTAAATCAGCATTAACGATCGCAAATACCAAATAAAAAGATAGATATTCCCATTCTAATGCAATATAAGCATTTTGTTTGATGTTCTTGTCTTATTTTCTTGGATTTTGTTATAAAAATTCGTCATGGAGCATTGTGTTTTTGCGTCCTTCTATTTATGTTGTCTCAATGAAAAAGCTTTCATTCTCGTTAATGCTGGTTTTACTGCCTCGAACATCAGTGTATTAGCCAATCAAAATGTGTTTTACAAAACAATTGCATTAGAATGGCAGTTTTACTCTCTTTCAAGGTGGTTTAGTTACCATCTTCATCTTATAATAGGCCAGAAATTATTTTTTACTTACTTTGATATCCTTTCACACAGTGAGAGAATATCACTTTGTTATCCTAGCTTTCACACTGTGAGAGAATATCACTTTTATTCGATAAATAAACAGAAAATTCAATGTTTTGTAGATGAATTTGGAATTTATTTCACGAGTGGGACAGGATTTTTTTGATATTTTGATATTTTCACGAGTGCAAAGATATGTAAAATTCATATTCAATTAGTGAATTTAGTATTTGGAGTAAAGTTCTCTTTATTACAGTTGATGAATTTATGATAAACAAAACTTTTCTGAGGTTTATCAAAAAAAATAATATGATATTCGTGGGGTTCGAACCCTAGCAATAAAAATCCTGAGTATCAATTTCCTTTGCGACTAACACCCTAACCACTACGCTACACAGCTCCTGACGAAGAGTGTCATTTAAATCATGTTTGTGATATGACCCTTGACTAAATGGACCAAGTATTTCTCGGATAATGCGAATGTTGTGTCATAAAATTGTATTTTTAAGGTATTGTCGGTCTTGGCTCCATGTTTTTGTTAAACAAAAAATGAATCTTTTTACGCAAACTTTGAGGACAAACTTTCAAAACAATGGAGCGAAAACCCACTCATATCGAAAAATTGTGTTATAATATGAGGAAATGATCCTTTTTGCCCTCTTTAGTGTGTGTATGTTATTTCATAGGCAAATATTTTCAATATATGTGAGATTTTTGCAAATTGTGGATATTTTACATAAAGTATACTTTAATTTTTCACCTTCATATTTGTCACACTATAGGCACTTTGCTCGCCCTTAACGCCGATCTTCTTTCTTGAAATATGAGCATCAAATCTGTGTCCCAGCCCCTTTAAAGTTTTTCAAAAGTAGGTCAAACTCCAAGGTCAATGACAAAAGGTCAAAATGTTGGTACTCTATGGAAGGTCTTGTCACAAGAAATATGAAAGCCCTAGCACCAACAGTTGAAAATTTATGGCCAAGGATAACGTTTTTAAAATGTAGGTCAAACTCCAAGGTCTAGGTCAAAATTGTTGGCACCCAAGGGAAAGTCTTGTCACAAGAAATATATATGTGAAGTATGAAAGCCCTAGCACTTACTGTTCAAAAGTTATGGTCAAGGTAAAAGTTTTTCAAAAGTATGTCAAACTCCAAGGTCAAAGTCAAAAATACTTGTACCTGAAGATATATCTTCTCATAAGGAATACACAAGTGAAGCATGAAAGCCCTAGCACCAAGCGCTCAAATGTTATGACCAAGTTTAAAAGTTAATAAAATTTTGCAAAAGTGGTTCAAACTCTAAGGTCAAATATGATGGTACCTTAAGAAAGGTCTCACGAGGAATACACATGTGAAATATGAAGGTCATAGCTTCAACCAATCAAAAGTTGAGGGAGGGTTAAAGTTTTTGCAGACAGACAGACAGACAGACCGACCGACGGACGGACAAGGCAAAAACTATATACATGTACCCCGAATCTCCGATTACGGGGGCATAAAGTTAATGCTTCGAAAAGCTGTTAAAGCATATACGAGGGTTGTTCGGAAAGTTCGTGGACTACCGTCATAACTTTTTTACCTAACGTCATATTATATCCAATTTAGAGGAAATATTTCAACAGTAAATTCAAATGATGTGTATTAAAAATTTTCAAAATATCGTGGTTTATATCAAACTCATTTAGACTTTTAAAAAAATGCGAAAATCGGATCACGGAGCAGTTCAAAGTTTTGTAATTTACAATCAAGACACTAAATAATGTCTGAAGTCATATCGTCTGTAAAATGACATAAAAACGGACAAATTCTATACGTTCGAATTGAGAATTGTTTCATCTTTCTGATTCCAAATTATGACTTAATATTTTGCTTCGTTGAAAAGAAATCAGTTTCTGAAGATAGGTAGTCCTCATTGAAAAAGGCAAAAAAAGATGACGTCGTAGAACGTTACGGAGCAGCAGTTAACCAAACAATTTTGTGTTGTACTCTGAAAAACTTCAGAAAAAAAAAACTGAAAATGCCAGAGGAAGTAGGAAATATGTCAAAAGGGAGCCATGCATGTCTGTGTACGTGGTACAAGAGGTATTTGAATGACAGACTACTCTGCTTAGACGATGGTGATCTGTGAGAAAAGCGGATTATCTGTAAAAATCTTAACAAAAACATTGAAAAGTTCGTAACGTCATGCTAAGAGTTCGACACTTCACATATGCTTAAGGAGGCTGGGGGGTCAACAAATTAACCATCAGATATAACTTATTTTTTTTTTTAGATATGATGTCTTAAGCTGTCAACTGTCATTTGGCAAAGAAAAAAATCATACATTTTAGTTTTAAAATTTGATCATTTTTGTATATCTTTATATGGAGCTCTTCTTCTAAAGGAGATCAATATAGTCTAAAAATGGCCACGACCACCCAGCCCTCTTAACTTGTAAAAGCAAACTTATGCAGTGAAAAAAAATATAACATTGACAAACAAAATGATGCTACTAAAACAAATGTTAGCAAACTAGATTTCAAGTGATAGAGAAACGTTTTTAATGAGTGCACTGGTATTGGGCAATACTGTGTGAAATGTATAGGGATAGTATTTTTGAGAACCTCAAATCGGTAAGTTTTTGATGTTACAGTGTGTG